TTAGCCGGACCACTCCAATCGCTGAAGGAGAATTCGCATTTATTTTGCTTTTTTTCAGAATCTGTGGCTAGCTTTACAATTGGAATCTTCTGAAGCCAATGAAAGGATAAACTGAATCAATAGAGAACCCTTTTCTCTTTTTTTCAGTGAATTCAAGATAAGGAGCGAATGAATCTTATGTAAGGAGCAAGTTTCCCATTCATTCGCCTTTTCATTAATCAAGTGCATACATGTTTTTACGAAATTACGTCTTGATGTGCCCTAATTGGATCGCAGACGACACTCAGTTCTTTGAAAAGTTCTATTGTTCCTTTCTTCTTCCCTTCTTGCGTCAAAGGGGATTCCTTCGTCTTCTCTTTGGATTTGAAGGAACCTTCATTCTCTAGACGACGAGAGAGGCTCACCAAAGAAGTGATTCTTCTGTGTCGATTTCAGTAAGGAATTATCAGCGTAGACAACTTCGTGGAACATCTGCGCATTTGAATAATGAAAAGGGAAGGCGATGAGATCCTTTTTCTAAGGAATGCCTTCCATGAGACTCGTTCTCTTCTTGTCTCAGATTCAGTCGTAGAGAAAAACAAAAATCCCCTTTTTCTTAATCAATAGAAGATGCTAACTGACAAAATGGTGAGAGTGAACTAAAGAAAGATTGAGATAAATGTACCTCTATAGCAATTAAAGCGGTCCGGCTGTAGCGCTGAGACGCGCTTGGTCGCGAACCCGCGATCGCTGCGATCGATACGATTGCCACGATAGCGGCGGTTACGCTTGCAGTAGCGAAACATGAACACTGCCCTAGCCATCTTTAGCGGTTAGTCATTCATTTGCTTGCACCGCACCTTGAGGCTCTTTATCGACTTCTACTGGCTTGGTCATTCTGCCTCCCTGAAAGGAATTCGAGCACTCCGAGTATAGGCGGTTTGAGAAGTCTCAGTATTTTCCTTTCACTGATGGAAACTACCTATTGTTAGTCTCGATGCGGCAGTTATAACCGTAAGGTGTGGGAAAAGAAACAAGGTTGCTGCCCTGTCGCTAGTGTCATTGCTAGTGCTCACTTAGTGCGTATTATTTCATGCCGTTGAATCTCGAAATCGTTACTCTACGCCTTCTCGGAATCTTGTCATATTATTCATCTAAAAAGACATATAGCTGTATGAGTGCAACAATCAACACACCTCATTAATCTTTCTTTCTGCTCGAGCATGCTTCCAATTCCCTACTACAAAGGACTCTGTCGAGACTCTTTCATTCATCCACGATGTCCACTACAGAGCTAAGCATGCAATCACAACACCCACCCTTTCTCAAAAGCTCTCACACCCCTCCACAGCTCCTCCACCACTTTCACCCAACCCACCCTTCTCAAGTGTCGTCAGAGTGCTGCGGAAAAGGGATCAGGGGAAGAAGGAGCGGAAAGGATCAACACACCTCCATTAATCTTTCTTTCTGCTCGAGCATGCTTCCAATTCCCTACTACAAAGGACTCTGTCGAGACTCTTTCATTCATCCACGATGTCCACTACAGAGCTAAGCATGCAATCACAACACCCACCCTTTCTCAAAAGCTCTCACACCCCTCCACAGCTCCTCCACCACTTTCACCCAACCCACCCTTCTCAAGTGTCGTCAGAGTGCTGCGGAAAAGGGATCAGGGAAGAAGAGCAAAGAAACTTATCTAAACGTACCCAAAAACCTAAGCAGTCATGCTATATACTTTTTGCAATGTTGACTAGTGTCTTTGATTTGTTTTGTTGGGAATTTGGTTTCAGTATTTATACTGGATATGTGATTTGTATGAGGTGTTGCGTAAAGATTACAACTGACTCCACTTTACGTACGGTATCATTGCGGGCAGTCGGAGCGGCTGAGAGACGTTGGATTTTGACGCAACAGCGGTGCGTTCTCTACTGAGTATCGCCAGTACGGGCTATCCAGCTCGCTCAAGATCGCTTGACGCATGCTTTCTGTCGCGCCTGGCGCTTTTCAGATGACAGTTGACCTGACAACTCAGCTAAATTCGATGATTTCAGCTACAGTATCACTGTATGGCTTTACTTTATGACTGCTCTTTTGCTCTCTTTTGTTTTCTATTCTTTCCTCCCCTTTGACTCATTCCTCACAGCTGTGTCGATGTGTTTCTGTTTATTGCTGGAACACTCTATGCCATCTTCTCGAAGCTCGCAGTCGTGAAACCCGATGATCCCCATTCCGCTGCTGTGGCCCAATTATGTGTTGCGCGAGTTTACCAAATTAATTTCTGCTATCTTTCTTGTGTGACTGCCTGTGATTTCATCGCATTTCTGCGGTCTCATTTATGCTTATAACACATTTCAACAGCTTTGAAGCTTGTGGTCTTCTTCAAAAAAAGTTTTTTCAGGGTATGCTGCTGCGACCTCTTCTCCTCCTGTTGCGTGAGTTTCCTAGTTTATTTTTCATTCTTTTTTTTCTTTGATTGCATCTTCAATTCTATGGCATCCACTTGTTCATATTTATGCAAGAACATGGCTTGACGTACTTTTGAGGCTTGCAATCTTTTCAAATAAGGTTTTCTTTCAAGGCTTTCCGCTGCGGTGTTCTGGAGAAGATGATCACGTCGAAACGTTAGGCCGTTGAATAAATATTCCACCTGGAAACCTCTAGAGGCAGCCAGCAAGCCAGCAAGAGAGAAGATGGAGGCTATTGTGAATGTCTCTCGTGCAGAGCGATTCCATCCGAAAGGTCGAAATGACGACAGGAACGAACAGAGACGCTGCTCAAAATTTTTTTTCGAAGACTATGATGATGCACAATAACTGGTACGCGATGCAAAAAATAAAGTTTATGTTTCCGGTTTGGGCTTGTAATTAGCGTTGTAAGTGGAAGAATGTTCGGCGACACCGGGTGTGTGACGGTAGGACCATGCGGTCTCGCGCATGACAAACTGCGATTACAATGGGCTAGTTATCGGGAGCGCGCGCTCCCGAACACTCTGTCACTTACCTTGGACAGTTACATTTCGCTGTGATCTTTTTGAGAGGGTATCCCTTCCTACCTTGACCACACGACAATGAATATGTTCTGCGAGAGTGAGCTACCCAGAAAGCATTTAAACTGTTAAATGATGCTGATGAGCTAGGTAGTCGGATCCGTGCAAGTTTCCCTGCAAAATAATTCACTAGATGAACACTCTAACAATGTAAATGAGACGGAATCCAACTCAAGTCACGACAGTTCATATCCTACTATGTTGAATGAGCGTGACTGAGAAAAGCGAAGGTTGTCTAATTTACAATAACAATGGCATGGTAGACCATCGCGAGCATGCGAGCTTTATCGCAAGCACACAACATTTGTAATGAGGTGATTTGTAAACGATGCTGCGTGATCTGAAGTCATCTTACGGCGACACCCTCTCCCAACAGCGCATCAATGGATGTCGCCAATAATCTTCCAATAATGATTGTGTCTGTGTATTGTTATGCCTATCCACCCTTACACCCGAATATCTCTCCCACGTGCTAGCCATTTCCTACCCATTGATTTGATCAAGACCTCTACATTCCTTGTTCTCCGTATATTTCATCACATAGATACCTCAATGATGTTCAACCTTTTCCGGTGCTCAGCTTTGATTTCCAATTTCACACTCCATGGCGTATGGAACTGAATCAAATCATCCATGTTGCTTCTGCAATACACTCACCACTTATTGTTAGCTGGTACATATCTGATACATCTATGTACATCGTAACCGGTTTATTTCATACGTCCGCCAGTTCAGTTAGAGCGGACTGAGAGCTCAATCAGAGGCAACCAACGAAACAGAATAAGTAACAAGTTCAAATGATGGCAGGGTGACTGACTGACCGTAGTGTTGTATCACGAGCACTACATGTACGAAGGAGTTTAATAAGACTATTAATACTTGAAAGGATCTCGTATAAGAGGTAAAATGCAATATCACCCTAAAGGAATAAACCAGCTTGAAATGACATTGGTACAAAGTCGCAAAATCTCGAGAACTAGTAAGGCAATACAACATTATCTTGAACAATAATAATAACAACAATAATAGTAACAACATAATGGGGTAATATTAAATTGGCAGGAGAGTTCTGTCATAGTTCTTTAGACTCAAAATACTTGCCCTAATTAGAGAAGGTATGATCGATAATGTTGGCGGTAATACCCAGGGTAAAACTCTTCTTCATTCACTCGTCTCCTACTTCTTTTGCGAAACGGACAAGAATTGTGTCTCACGTCTTCAGTGACGACCCTTGAATGCCTCGCTCAAACCCCTTACTCTTCCACTCTGGCCCGAGCTTGAGAGGTGCCGAGGCCAAAACAAATGAGATGCATGAGGACGATGCCCGCAGTTATCGGACAGTCCTGCACGACGCCAATGCTTCAAAACGGGAGGCTGCAAATTCAAGGCGACGTGTTTTCTGAATTTCCATCGAACTCAGCGTGAGGAAGCTGCTGCTCGTAGAACTACTGAATGAAAGGTTGCTTTCACGTTCAATCCCTACACGATGCAGCAGTGAGCTCAGAAGGGGGAATTCGTCTTCTCAGTCCACCTTCAGCATAGCAGATCAGCCCTCATTCTCTAAAAAGGTCGAGTCGATTCTCATGCAGTAGGGCAGAATGGCCATGCTTCTGAAGCGTGTAGCGTAGTGTAGTAGTGTAGCGCAGACATTGCACTTTCACTTTAACTGCTTGCTGTCTCCCAAACCAGCCCACTATATGCACTAAAGAACTTCACAACCCAAGCCCAGATCATGAATGATAATGTCGAAATTTGCGTCTCTTCGGTCTGCATCGCGAAGTGACGGCATTCATGAGGTGTCCAAAACTGGCAACAGCCCCGCAATAGCAATGCTACATATAGTTGGTCTTATAGTACTCTTTAGGGAAAGTGAGCCTAAAAAAATATCTCGAAACTTTCCCGCCAGCCTAATATTTTCTCGACCATGTCCATCAGAAACGAAATCTACTTGAAGTAAGGTAATCCTCAATGAGTTTCACATCTTCAATGATGTGTTCGTTGAGCACGTTTTTGCAGGGTAGGGAGAGAGAATAACATGAGCCCAGAGATCTAAAAATGACTGGCACCTATTTTTGAGTAGCCATTCCGCGGCCTTTATTTCAAACTAACCATTAGGTTCACTCCACAGAATGCAAAAGACCAAATGTACGTGTCACTGCGATCTGCGAGAAAACCAGCTATCGGAGGTCCAGCCACAGTTCCGAGCCCCTATCAATATCGATTTTACGCGAATTTTTCGAATGAAGCTCTAATTCCGAGTTCCAGTGAAAAGCAAGGTGCAAATGTTCAACCCACCTGAAATAGCAGTAACAGCCCAAAAGCATTTGTAAGCTTATCCAATCCGAGAAGATCCACAAGAATGACGCTCGCTAAGCAGATAAAGGCTGATATAAAAAATCCGTGTAATGCAGCGTAGATCGCAAGTGAAGTGAAGTTCGTGAAGATAAAGCAGCAGGTTGTGAGGAGACCACTAATCTGCAATGAAATGATGCGTCAGTTTTCTTACGACCGATGATTTTCAAAATGCTGTGTAAAAAATATGGCTGGTGAATAAGGGTTGAACAACATATACCGAGAGCGATATGTTGTACAACCAGAGCCTGTTCCTTGGTATATCGTATCCCAAACCTTTGGGAAGTGGAAGCTTGCGATCAGCAACAACACCGTACGCAATACGACCAATGCTGTTGCTGAGTCCTGAAACTCTGGCCTACAGTGAGCGTCCAAAAAAAACGAAAAAAAATGCAAATATTTCCCACCAAAAGCCGATAGCACATAGGATGAAGAAGCAGAATCAAGTCCGACACCTCTCTGTGCATGTAATGGAAGAAAGTATAGTGGCGAATTAAAACCGACAGAAGATAGCATATTAGAAATGGCAAAAACAAGAAGATGGGATCGAAAAGGAGCGGCACGAATAACATATTTGAGATGGTCCTGAAAAAGAATATCTACATCAGCTTCGAAAGAGCTCTATTGTATCTACTCACTGCCCCATATTCGATCCTTCCACGTTGTCGGGATCATCCTGTGTGCCACTCAAGTCGCAGCCTGGGGATTCTTTCAGAGAGTGCGAAATTTGCGGAGATGTCGCGCTCAACGGAGACCTACGCTTTGACCCAGTAGATCTGAAAACGCTAGGAAGCGAATCACGAGAGTAACTTCCCACTATTAGGCAGTCACACCCCAATTTACTTCTACTTACCTGAATTTGTCGGGATCATCCTGGAATTCGCTGACGTTCGTAATGTCTCCGGTGTAAAAGATATCTTTTCTGTTAATATAACCGACATCTCTTTCTCCCACGCTTTCACATCGTCTGCCTCTGTGTCGACACTTGCCTGTTAGAAAGTAAATTACTTCCACACTAACAAGAGGGAATGTTAGCAGAAATGAAATATTTTGAGAAACAGCCAAGGGTGCTATATGCTTTGGGAGGTGCGAGAGTTCGGCGACGTTTAGCCGCACCTCTTCTAAGGCGGCGTTCAGACTTCGTCATGACGCGCCGACTCTGTGTACGCGCGTCAACGCGCTAACATTGCATCAGTTACAATGCTACGAAGCGAAAGCAGCCATAGAGGGGAATCGGTCGGCGTCGGCCGCTGGCGTATTGAGAAAATATGGGAGAGGATGCGTTACCTCGTCACGCAGTCTGGTATCGATCGGCGCTAGCCGCTCAGGTGTAGGGAGACTACAAAAGATTGGGAGAGTACCGGACTGTGGGGAAAATAGCGCTTGCCTTCCTGTTATCCCATATTCTATCAATGCACAAGCGGCCGGCGCCGATCTCTTCCCATCTGCTTTCGCTTCTATACCATTGTAATGCTCTTGCAACTGTAGCGCGTCGACGTCCGTCAACGCAAAATCTGAACGCTGCTTTAACACGTTGACGACATCCTGAGCCACCGGTGGCTCATGAGTGAGTGGCCACGTGGGACAATCTGAGCCACCGGTGGCTCATGACTTTCTCCATCACTTTTTGGGTTATTGCCGGCAGTCTCAATCGATCTTTTTCTTGCTTTCGAGTAACCTGTGGAAGGTGAGTTTCCAACAAGGATGAGCAAGAAAAATGTTGCTGCCCCCATGAGATATTTTGAATTAAAAATTGAAATTTTTCAACTAGCTACTGCTGCGGCAGAAACCTCCAAAATAGTTCTTTTTGGACGAAACCTTGGCTGCAGGGACTGCGCGGGTCTTTGATCATGAACGTGAGATCTCATTTGTCATTGGCGCCATATGGCGCCAGTAGGCGCCACTTTGGCGCCAGCGATCTTTTTGACACCGAATTTGATAGAAACCTCTACACCTAGGTTATTTGACATCCTTGTCACGAATGTATCGTTGCCTTCCAAAGTTGGCGCCACCTGGCGCCAGCGGGCGCCACTTTGGCGCCAGCGATCTTCTTGGCACCGAACTGTACAGTCCTCATCATTGCAGACCGGTGGGGCGGGTGAGCCGCGCTGCGTGTGACTCGGCTGTGACGCGGCAGCGATGACAGTCGCGTCACAGCCGAGTCACACGCGGCGCGGCTCACCCGCCCCACCGGTCTGCAATGATGAGCACCATACAAACTCGAACACCTGGGTTATTTGGCATCCTGGTCACGAATGTATCATTCCTTCTCAGTATTAACGCCGTTTGGTGATCTTGAGATGGTGAACAAGTGATAAAATATGGATAGTGGAAATAAAATATGGATAAATAGTGATAATAAAATATTGCTAGAAATCGCGAAAATCGATCTAAAGTGGGCGGAGCTAAGTGTGCGGAGCCTTATGCATCTTTGTGCAATTGCTTGTCTGTGAGCAATATGTGAAGAGTGTGTTTGAAAGCGTCAACGTTGAGATAAGGTATGAAAATTAAATATAAAACAAACCTGTTAAAAAGTGGGCGTGGCCGGCTATGTGTCGGTGTGGCCATCTATGAATCATTGTAATGTGTGAAAAGCAGAAAATTCCAAGAAAATTCTTAGAAACGGAAGTTATGGAACACATTTTGGAAATCACGATCGCGCTAAAAAGTGGGCGTGATCGCAGAGGGCGGGGCATGAGATGGCATCCAATAGGGTCAAAGATGGTTGAAATAGCAGTCCCTACACGATTGACTTATCATTTTGCGAAATTTGACATAGCGGCAAAAAAGTGGTCCACGAGGGACAATATGAGCCACCGGTGGCTCAGGGCGGACGCATGCGAAAGCACGCCATTGTCCCACGTGGCGCTTTCCCGCAAAACGCGATTGTCGTCAACTTGTTAATGTAACGGAACCACTTCATATGTATAGGATAGTTCGCTGCGCACGGTTGGGTATGTCAGGCGGGATGAGTTTGGCGCGGTGCCAAACCGTTCTCCACCAGTTGTTGAAGCGAGCAAATGATATGACTGTATCATATCGTTCGTATTACTCGTTTTCTACCACTTTTTGTCGCATGCGCGCTTCAACAAGAAGGCAGAGAACGGCTTTGACGGGGTGACACACTCATACTGCCTGACATGCTCAATCAGCGAACTGGAGTGTACTGTCTCGCTGATGGGGCGCGGATGGGCGGAGCATGGCGAGCAGATTCAGGACTCTTCTCCAGAAGTTGCAAATAGAAGGCAGATTTATTAATATCTCGCCCTCTATCGTCACGAAGAGTGAATCACAACTTTGAAATAAAACAGTAGGCACAAGCCTTTTTCTGGTGTGACGGCCCTGAAAAGAAGTAACATCAGTGGTTGGCCCGGTGTCGATGAGAGGGTTCTGATGAGGAGACATGACGATACTCAGCTTGGTTAGAGACTCACACTCCCCTAGACACATAGCACCCAACACAATTTTCGTGCACAAGTTCCTCACAGCTCTACTTACTGTCTTCTCCCGTCGGCATAGAATTAGTAGTGCAGTTCGAATCCGTTGTGATGAGGTTAGGTGATTTTTGGGGTTCTCCCGATGCAAGGAGAGGGGTGCTCACCTGAACCTCAACTTTCCCTCCTTAACAATAAATAAAAAAAATAAATAAATAAATAAATAAACAATAAATGTATGGAAACGCTACCTCGTCAGAGGGGCCCATGTTCCGGAGTTCATCTGCAGCTCTTCCTGAACCATCATCCTCGCTAACTTCTTGAAACTGTAATGGCCGGTAAAGAGAGCCGCAAATTATACAAATTGTGTACGCCCCTGAAATATAGCTTAGCTCGCAACCCATTTCCACCATGGCAACTTAGACGGAAAAACTTAGTCACTTTGGTTTCTCGGAATAGGACGATGAGAAATCTTCGTGTTCGTTGAGAGATTATGGCCTCCAAAAGTGTTCAGACATATAGATGACCAACAAAAAAAGTGAAATGCTAGAGTCCCAGTTTTTCTCGTTGTTTAGAAGCTAGTACGTATACATATTGGCTACGTAGTCGAGGCAGCCACTATGATCGTGAAGGGAAACGTCGAGAGCCAGAAAAGTAACCAGATTCATCAAAGGTAGCGCTGGGCTATTAAATCGGCTCGTCGTACAGGGAAGGCGCGAATCCCAGATTAGATGAGCTGGACCAGCAGCTGCATGGAATGGTTTTCGACTTCCGAAACGGAATGCGGAAGAATGGACGCAATGATTCAAAGCAAGGCGGCGAGGCATCAGCAATAGTCAGTTAGTGCCCCATAATGTTCGCCATGTACGTGAAGAGCAGGTGGATGGAATTAATGTCGAATATTCGATCGCAGAGACTGGTTCATTGCGGCCCGTGACCAGATATCCTGCTTCAACCGTTGGGCGAGTCACACCAAAAGATATGATAGATGCAGAAATGTATCCGTTCAGATGTACTACATATTTTCTTACAGAAACACGAGCCTAGGATCAACTTGACGTCTGTAGGACAATGTTCTTAGGCAAGACGTCATTCATGACTACGAACGCTGGCCTTCTATCAAAACATAAGTGGCCTTGCACACCGAGCCCAAAGACGCTTTAGATAGCTGCGAGTGAGGCGCTTCTGAATTATGTCAAAAGGGAACTGCGCGCGTCCAAGCGGATGATCATCGCTCTGAAGTTACTTTCTAGGCTGTTAGGCAAATAAAATTTCCTGAAATGAGTTGACACGATCAGATTGGTTGGTAACACACGACCACAAGTAAGGCGTCAGTTCCCATGAAAGTGCCCCCAAGTAATATCAGTAATCCGTTGGAAAGGAAACTGAGGCTTGGACACAGTCGCAGCATTCGCCTAACCAGCAGCCGTGCGACTTCAGTTGTATTGGTCAACTGAAGGGAGTGTTTAGTGGACAGCACGACAATCTGCCGATCGCAGAAATTGACATCAGCAGCATTTTATTCACACTTATTGTCAAAAAGAGATAGGTATCCAAATGCCCAGTAGAAGCTGAAAGCGGATGTTCGATAACGACACGCTCTAGTGATAGTTCTTATCATCGTAACAGTCGGGATCATCGTAACAGTCAGGAACGATGTGACGAGGGCGTAATAGGCCTGCCCCCGGCTGCCTTAGGCAGCGTTCAGACTTGTAGCGCTACAGCTGTAGCGCGACGTGGCGCCCCTCTTCTCTTTGTTTCTCATATTTATCTGATGCTGAGCTCCTCTTTTCTACTTTATCACATTTTCCATGTAGTTTTTGATACAGAACTTTGTGATAATTGGTTTTATTTATCACCAGCTTGGCTGACGCGCACTACTGCGCGCATGGTTGAATCTATGGTAATGTACATCGCTGGCAGGATTCCCGTGCTGACCCCGAACACTGGGCCCGAGCGCCATTTTTTGAAATACGGCCCATTTCATTATGTTTCTCCTGTTTAATGAACATTTGCTAATGTCTGGTGCTTATCACATTTCTAAAGAGCACTCACCATTCGTTGGAAATAGGACAGCTTAGCGGTGAAAGAATTTCGATGGTAATAACATGGACACCATAGTGATATATTCTCACATCCTAGTACTTTCGTTAAGCAGCTTCCAAAGCTTTTAATTTTTGTCGACTCTCGAGTGTTTAGCGGTCGAATCAGTCATCCTATCGCTAAGGGATGGAATAAGTTGACTCATAAGCCTCTGCCCATTGTTTCGTGGGCACCGGTGCTCAAGTTCAGGCTGAGCAGTAAGGATGCGAACAGGTACTGGTGCTTATCAGCCCTTTTCTCACACTATATACAACTTATATCCCTTCACGAATGCTCTGTAACCCCTTCTGAATGACTTGCCGGAAGCAGTTCCCCCAGTGCTGCTACAACTCGTGCTATGAACTCTTGCCACCCAATAATAATTGTCCCATCCTGATCCTGATCTAACTTCTTGGAACCAACGTCCCATCGCTGTTGTGGCCGGTGTTATGAATTAGGTAACTCACTCCTTCTAAGGCTCCTCGTGGTATCTTATCAGCTGTTATCACTTCCTGCCACCCA